ACCAGGCATTGGACATATATGTATTTATTTTCATAAATTAACGTCATAGATTTAATTTCCTTATATTATTATCCAATTTAATAGACCAACAGCGGAAGTACCAGTGCGTGTACCAGCCGGCAGCCTGTATAAGGAGCAGGATCCATTTAAAGACAAACCTGGGGAGGACTTTGGGTTCGAGTTTAGCGAGGACTTTAAAGATACATCTGTAAAAAAACGGTGAGTTAATAATACAATACAATACAAAAATTCTTTATTGTACACTGAAATGGAAATAAATACAATACTCACTGAAGTCTGCCTTTTTGTGATAGTTAGTGACGGGACCAACAAGTCGCGTGTCTCGTGGCAACGCTACCAAACGTAAACAAAAATGCAAATTAGGCAAATGTCAAAATTTTCTTTTTCTCTTAGACATAATGTGTTCCAGGAGTAATCCATGGAAGAAGTTGTTGTACCTGGTCACATCGTTGATCCCCGTTGGTCTGATCTTCTCCGCCCTCACTCCCAACGTCATCAACATACAACCCACTGGCTCAGAGGGGCAGTAAGTGTCATACCTAATAACTTTTACTAAACGAGTACCTCTAATTCACATTTCTAGTAACTTAGCACGTGTAGGTCATTTGCACATAGCTACCATTCTTATTTTTTATTATTTGTTGTACAAAAAAAAAACAAAAACACGTTTAGCAACAAGGAAAACACAAACAAAAGTACTCCTTATTATATATCAATACAGGAGATTTAACAAAAAAAATATGAATAAAAAAAACGATACCAAAAACATTAAATTATTAAAACTATATGAATACATACTTCGTACTATAATACCTATAAAATAGATGGAACAGTCACATTTTGAAAATTGCTAAAGATTTACTATCATGAACGGTAATGGGAAGTGAATTCCAAAGTCTGACCGCATGAACAGTGAAGAAGTGAGAATAAAGACCAGAATTGAAGGATGGAAAAGATAACTGGGACCTAACACGAGAGCGACAGGGCTTATCCTGGGACCTGAGAAAGCTGAAACGCTCTTTCCCACCCAGGATACATAGGGTTGTGCAGAATATTATAGAGAACGGAGACAATATGCAAATTCCTGTAGAGACGAATGGGAAGCGACTTGAATTGACTGCGATACTGTTAGATTCTTAGAGAAATGACACAAGATGCGATGTAGACACGGCTTCCTTTGAGAAAGTAGTGTAATAAAAATTGTATAAAATGCGATTTCAACGTAATACGATACATTACAGAGCTAGGTATAGAAGATGGTTGTAATCAAGTAACCTACCTACTTCCTTATCATAACTAACGTAATCGACATTTTTGGCGAAACTAAGTTATTAACATATTTGGAATCATCAGCGAAACGAGAACTACAACAAATAAGCCCATAAGCCGTTTTTTTTTTATTTATTTTTATAATATTAAGTGACGGAACGAACTAGTCGTGCACCTGATGGTAAGCTATATGCCTGTTCATAATAGTTGCAGTGCCACTCAGAACTTTAAATCTCACAAATCTGAGGGGTATTGCCACTGTGCCCATTACCCTGAGACATGAGTTGACAAGTCCCATGTGCGTGTAATTTCACCAGCACCCTTACCTTTCAAAACTGGAACACAGTAATGCTGACATTACTGCGACAGAAATAGGCAAAATGGCAGCACTTCCTAGACGAACTCTTTCACAAGGTGCTCTACTGCTATTAATTCTTATTAACTTTACAAATCAGCGTAATTGAATTTTTTACAAGCACAAAAAAAACTTTAGGGGCCAATATCTCATTAACAATAAATCATAGATAAACAAAGCAAAGACAAAAAGAAATAAAATAACATCAGGCGTTCGATAACAAATTTTAAAGAAGTTACATCGGTAGAGATATACTTCAACTGGTTTTAAAAACACAATAAACTGATAAGTTCAGTTTGAGGAAATAATTTTATTCGCAAAATAAATATGACTGGATTTATCGCAGATACGTAATACATGATGATTGTTACATGTCAGCGTCGAAGGGTTTCATAGAAGGAGCAGCTTCATGACGAGCATTACAATTATCAGTAGATATGTTGACAACGTTAGAAAATACATGAGTCTATTTATATGTTTAAAAATGAATGTTTGTTTGCATTAATATTCATCCGTCCTCAAAATGTTATGAAGTATTAGAACAATTTCAGGAACTTCCCACACTAGCGTCTTTCGAGTGTCAGCGTCTTGCCAACCACGCACAGCGTAGACACGGCGTATACCCGACGTTCGGTACTATTCAGCACTTGCTCAGTGCTGTCGTGCGTCCACAAATTAGTTAGGTACTACTACGTTGCATCGCCGCCGCGTGGACGTCGTGTCGTCACTGTGCGTGCTTTGGCAAGACGCTGACGCTCGAAAGACGCTAATGTGGCAGGTCTCTTAATGTGTTCAAAGCCAAAAAAGTGATTCTTTTGCAGTTGCAGAAAAAATCGGCTTTTCTTTCGCAATCCACGCCATGGTTTAGCTAGTAATTAATAAAAACCGACCTGTCTCAAATAATTTAGAAGCGATGCTGTCTAATTTATTTTGTGTAGAATCATACATATATAGGATTTATAGGTTATACATATATAGGATTGGTTTTAGAACATTTTTACGTTGACAATGGCCCGTCAATGATTTCTGGCGGGAAAGAAGCTCACTTGCCGTACCATTCGTACCGTTCTCGGCCGTACAAGACATTGCTACGTGGCGGTACTTGAACAGACTCTATAATTAGGTCGATAAGACAATCTGCCTATTCTAGTGAGAAGTCGGCTGTGATTATAGTATTTGATTTCGGATTCTAGAGATTGAGTGTTGAATTATTTAGCAGTAGGATGTAACATATATAAAAGTATAGAATCATACCTCTAAATACGTTGGGCAAAAAATATATTTAAAATCATAAATATATGTATTTACTAAACACTATTCCATTTTATCCAATAAAGGTATCCGTCAACCGGAAACTTTGTCCGTCGTCGCGCCGATGGCACTGTTCACCCGGACTCTCCACCGGGTTCAATATCTCCGCCAGCCCACTTCACACCACCGAGACCACCAAACCGCGCTGTACCACCCTCTCAGATAATACCACCTATCAGCGAAAGGTGCCGCAGACGACTACTTTGTGAACTTCAAAATGATGTATATTACGCTGCTAGAAGGTATAAAAATATGTTCACTAAATGTTAACGGTAAGTTAAACTGTCTCCTTAGAAGAGATCCATGGCCAGCTATGAGCAATAACATAAGTTGCTAAAGATGTGCCTGCGTATAACTTACTAACACTAAAAATTAACAAATAAAATTTCAATTGAAGATCTAAGGATTCTTTTAAAAGTCGTGGTTTATTTCAACTTTAGGTGACCCGTACGTATTGTTACTGACTCTATTTCAGTTTAAACTTAGTCCATAAACATTGAGTCATTTAAAAAAATAAGATAATTTAGACTTAAAACAACCAAACTGAGCAAGTTTGATAAGTAGAAATCATATAGCGAGTTTTCTATTCCACAGCTCCCGTCACAAGCGCCAATGTCATCGCATTCCTTGCGAAGACCCTACCGCACTGTCTTCGACCCTCAACTATCTTATTAACTACCAGCAAGCTGCTTCAGCCGCCTTCCAGCAGCGGCTGCAGAGTTCCGGAGACACTTTGAACATAGCTGATCATTTCACTTAATCGTAACATACGTATATAATACGAGTGTGGATCACTTACAAAATCACATTAACAGGATTAAGGATATATATAAGTATTGTTATTTTTATATCTGAACCAGAACACTATGTCATTGTTAAGAACATAACTATATTTTATTTTACTTATTCGACTACCCTATTGAAAAATACCACTTGCAATGATTTGATATTAAAAATGTAACTGAATGACTTTGATAATCCGCTAACCCATAATTTATTACAATAATTTACTTACATAATTTACTTAAAATAATTTACTTCCAGTTTTATTGGCATAGATTGACGTAAAATAACGACTCTCTTAATAATGCGATGATTTTATTTAAAAAAAAACTCAAAAGTTTGTTATTTAACATTTGGAAACGGTTAGCGGATTGTGGGTAAAATCCAATAAACAGGATTCATCTAAAAATTTGCCACCCTTAGCGATGGAATATTGTCTACAAGTTTTAATGGAACCCCTTTTCAGGTACTCCCTTTCCCACAAAAAAAGAATTATCGAATTCGGTTCACAAATGTCGGACTAATCGCATAACATACACACAAAATGCAGTCGAATTAAGAACCTCGTAATTTTTTTAAAGTTGGTTAATTAAATGGACCATCAACTTGTGAGCTCTGGCCAGAAGGCTGTTGGTACTGGCGAGCACCCGCTGCATCTAGAAGTCTTGTCGCTTATGGCTTATGACTTAACAATCATCCGTATAATCATAGATACATTGCGGAGCGCGCGGCAACCCTAATAACATTCTGAATGCGTTGTTATATTGTATGTGTTATAATAATATGGTTTTCGAGTATTTGCCTCACAGACTGCAGATGTAGAATGATTGGCAACAAGTGATCTTCACGTCTACTGTACACCTAGCAAATCAACGGATTTATATATTCCACCTTACTCTATCATCTATCAATGCGATACACTCCCTTTTCTAAGTCCATGTCATCGTTAAGTGACTCGGTGATCTAAGTACTTACATTTCGACATTATTTCACAGGTGTTTAAGAGTAAATGGGGTACGAAAAGACAATATTTAGTACATGCTTTCTACATAGCATATCACTTATACCTTCTTAGCTATTTCTGCCGCCAAGCAGTAATATGAGGTAAGGGCGCTGGTGAAATTACAGGCATATGAGACTTTTCGACTTATGTCTCAAGGTGACGGGCACAGTGGTAGTGCCCTCAGATCTTTGCGATTAAAGCTCTGGGTGGCACTGCAACTGCTGAACAGGCGTGTCACTTACCATCAGGCGCACGGCTTGTTCGTCCCAGCACTTAGTAACATAATAAAAATTTAAAATAAAAAAAAATAAAAAATTTTAAGTTTTCTGATTGCACTAATCGAGAGGCTCAACAACACCATGTAGTCGGTAATCGGTATAATTAGTTTTGTTGATATATTTCTCGTTATATCATTATTATTTACCATAATTTCAACCCTAAAAAAATTATAGTTATAAAACTATGAGTCTTCTGGTCTCCTATATAATATACCAGTTTACAAATACTAGATGATCGTTGAAATCGAGGTACAGGGATGACAATAAGCAAAAATAAAAGAAAGAACAAAATTCTAATAAAAGTTAAAACACTTCTAATACAAAACAGAGTTGCATGGATGCATGCGCGTGTATGTATGTATTCAAATTAAATTGCAAATGTATATTGTATATTTAAACTTTAGTTTAGTTAGTGAAGACTAACAAATAAAAGTGCAAACAGCGCTCTCTAGTTTAACTAGATACTAAAGTAATGTACGCAAGACAGTTCGCGTCGCAACACTGTCACTTAACAAGCAGCAAAATGATGCAAACGCAGTAAAGTGCTTAACAATCTGACAAGAAGTGGTTAACATGCAGCTTCAATCCGCATGCTAATTAGACCATCAACCCGCAGCGGGGCGGCGGCAGCGGCGGCGTGCTGCGGTGGCGGTGCGCGTGCGCTGGTTTCTTATATAATTAGGTGCGTAACGATGACGTTAATGAACATATATTAAAATTGTGCGAATTATACTTATTAAGCGCGTAAAATGGCGGGCGCGTATAATGAACCTGTCAATTTTGATCAGCTCACGCTGGTGCTTGTGAAAATTCACACACACATACTACAGTAGACACTAGTGCGTGTATCGTGTTCCGAAGTAACTTGTGTAGTTTACTTATCTGTTAGTACAGTTTAACCATTAATAATAAAATGAAATATTAAGAGGTGTTTTTTTGAATTTATTCCTTATTTATAGACATTCGAGAAGATGATGATTGTTGTAATGCATTCAACTTTTATCTTTTATATGATATCATGAGACGGGACGAACAAATCGTGCACCTGGTGGTAAGCTACACGCCTGTTCATGACAGTTGTGTAACTGTTGCATTGATAGTTTTAAATCACAAAGATCTGAGGGCCACTGCCACTGCACCCGTCACCCTGAGAGAAGTTGACAAGTCCCATACGCCTCTAAGTGTCGTATTTCAGAACTCTACTCAATGCTCAAGTCAGGATTTGAGTAGACTTGAGTATGATTTCAAGCTCTGGAAATACGACCCTAATGGCAAGGACTTGAGTATGATTATCAATGCTCACAGCAATACTCAAGTCCTGACTTCAGAATTGAGTAAAGTTCTGGAATACGACCCTCAAACTGAAACGCAGTGATACTCACATTGCTGCTTGGCGGCAGAAATTGGTAAGGTGGCAAAATTTCCCTGTACTCTTTCACAAGGAGCACAACTGCTACTAAATTGTATACTTTGTTTCCCAAAATAAATAAAACTATTTATACCAAATATAGTAAATGTACACGATGTGTACCTAAGATATAAATTCAACTCTACGCTACTTACGATAAAAAAGTCCAAAGTCCAAAATATGAAGCATGATGCAACTCTAGTCTGTGCAAATTATCAAAATGACTACAGTGCAGGTGCCACTTACGTCAGATATTTTCAAATTATAGATATAGAAAAAAAGGGGTTCGATTATCGAACAACAGAAGAAATAATTTCCCGTGGTCCACCCAGGTGGACCAGAGAAGTGGTCCACGGGCAAGAAGAGAAAAAAAACGACCTCAAAAGTTTGTGGAATTACATCTATTTACCAAGTTTTGGTGGGTGAAATTAAACAAACAGGATTCATCCTTAATTTGACATCTTTAGAGGTGAAACATTTTCTTCTAATTTGAATGGAACCAGTAGTGAGGTACCCCCTTTCCAACTAAAAAAGAACCATCGAAATCGGTTCACGAATGACAGAGTAATCGCGTAACATACATACAAAAAGAAATACAATCGAATTCACAAACTACTCCTTTTTGAAGTCGATGAAAAATAAAAAATATTACATAATGTGTACACAAGATATGACACTTAGAAAGAAATATGGCGCACTCCACCTATATAGCGTAATTACGGTGCATCCGATGTGCACACGGTGCATCAATTTAAACATCGACCGACATCTTCGGCACTCAGAGCATGTCCGTTCTATTTGCTTTTTACGGCCTGCAAAGGATGACGCCGTTTACGCACAATGAATTGAGGTTTTAAATACAATTCTCAGAACATAGCCGAGAGTTATTGCTCTTTAAAACGATTTTAACTTAACAAACTAGCGAGTAGTCGGTATTAAAAAACAGATAGTATATTATATTTCGTCAGAGATAGTGCAATTACGCGTAACTAGCATTGGATTATGAGTTTCCATTTCGGTAATTTAGTGGTAAATGTCGTGGCAACAAAATTAGCGTGATTTACGAGAATCTATAGTAATCAGTCCGTAGCAACATAAATTAATACTTACTGTGCAAAAATTAAAGTCAAAGTAATAACGTGAAATTCCTCTCCTGTAAAATTTGATTTATTGCAGACACGCGCCTTTTACCAATACTGCATACGCGAATTTGCACTATCCCCGACGATTTACAGATCAGGCACCATTCTATTAAATTTTGATTACAGTTGCAAAGAATGTCCAGTTTCTATTAGGTATTCGGCCTGTTTTTTGGTATTCGATTAAATAGTGTATATTTAATATTTATTCGGCCGGTTACCGAGTATTTAATATATTCGGTATCTATTTAGGGCCGAATACTTAAAAACAGGTGATTAGATAAGAAAAACACAGTTAAATTATTTGAGTAATGCTGAGCATACTGTGCAAATTCGCGAAAGCGCAATTTTTCGTTCCTTTATCTAAAAGCTCAAGGGAAATATATAATATATTTATAACATAGCAAAGTTATTTTCCTAAGAAATCAAAAAAACGTAACCTATCAAATGAAAACTACAGACTTATGTATGTTTATGACTAAATAAACGCTAACAAAATCAACGAAGTACTTATTATAATTTGCAAACCAAAATAAAATTGAGTTTTTGAAAGTCAATCAAACTGAAGCAAAAGAAGCAATCCCTTTCTTCATTAAGTCCTAAGTTTATATCATAAGCTTGAAGATTTGAGTTCCTTGTTTGTTTCATTGTGCAAAATAATTTATTTATAGCTGAAGTTAATAAGTGATATTTTATTTTCATTGATAATCATATTTTTATTACATGATTTTCATATATTTTTTGCGAAAATACTCCACTAATTTGTTGTCATTAGTAGCCACGACGAATCGAAAGAATTTTTCTTTGTATCAATAATTAATAATTGGTATTTTTCGTGCCAATTTCCTTTCATGCCATTAATCAGGCTGAATAGTTTGGCCGAATATTCGATATTCGTCCATAGGCCGAATATACTATTCGTGGTAACACTAACAACAATATACAGGGTTTAAACAAGAAATATATATTGATTAGTGTGAATGTATGTTTTTCCAGCGTCTCTATTGAAACACATCACATCCGTATCCGAGCACGACACAGCGGCTCGGCAATGTCCTAAATTATAGCCATTTGCAGTTCCATTACGATGTATGCGCTAATGAAGCGTCAGCAAATAAAGACAATGTAACATTCGTAAGGTGTTTATACAATTTGCCAGTCGTAGCTCGGTGTAGGTATGATATAGCTAATGTGTACATTGAATCTGAGACTCGACAGACGCTTTCACCGATCGTGGTTTGTTTGCCAAAGAGTTTTTACCAGTCGTTACAAGTTTTATAAATAAGATTGTGATATTAGGAGGAAGAGTTCCGTAATCACAAGCATAGTGT